TGCTTTCTTACTTGTATTCTGGATGCTGCGCAGCCCGTGTGTGAACAGATCATACTTTCTGTTAGAGCTGCTCGACTCCTGAAAGTTTGAAGCAATGTGGATTTTTCATTGTACAAATGTCAAAATCATCTCTGAGAAACTAAACATACTCGTATTTCTTGATTTTAAAGCACATGCATTTCAAACCTCGTAGAAGAACCCCAGCACCGCGATTCCTGAAGGATCTCTGAGTGCATCTTCAAGTCTGTTGAATCTTTGTTTCATGTGCACAATATGCAGCTGGTGAGAGAGTAATACACATAATAATACGGATTCAAATTAAAAATAAACGAGTATTGGATTTAATTCAGTGAATCTGATGCAGGCAGGTGTTATTCGCTGATATGGTGTTGGTCACACCTCCATAGGATACTGCTCTCCATCGACGGTGTGTTCAGATCCAGGACCTCCGTTAGTGCCCCAGTGGAGGTGAAACTGCACGGCCTTGTACGTTTCTCCCAGGTTTCCTCCAGACACTGTGGCTGTGATGGGTATACTGACCTGAACTGATGTGGAAAACACAACATTACAGTCCAGCGTCACACAGAACAGTTTGTTTCTTCATCAGGTTTGGAGAAATATAGCATTGCATCGGTGTCTCAGCAATGGATGCTCTGCAGTGAATGGGTGCCGTCAGAATGAGAGTCCAAACAGCTGATAAAAACATCACAATAATCCACAGCACTCCAGTCCATCAGTTAACATCTGGAGAAGACAAAAGCTGAAACACATCCAGCATTAAGATGTTTTTAACTAAAATCTGAGTCCATAATCCATAATAACGCTTCCTCGAGTGAAAAAGTGCATCTCTTGTCGTCTCTCACATCAAAATCCAGTCACATATTTGTTTAGAGCTTTTTAAACGCTGCTTGATCTGTGCAGATTTCTCTCCTGATTCACACCAGAACACTTTTTCTCTGGAGGAAGTGTATTATGGATTATGGTTATGGTTTGAAGTTAAAAACATCTTAATAATGGATTTGTTTCAGATTTGTCTTCTCCAGATATTAACTGATGGACTGGAGTGCTGTGGATTATTGTGATGTTTTTATCAGCTGTTTGGACTCTCATTCTGACGGCACCCATTCACTGCAGAGCATCCATTGCTGAGACACTGATGCAATGCTACATTTCTCCAAATCTGATGAAGGAACAAACTCACCTACATATTGGATGGCCTGAGAGTGAGGAAATTTATAGCAACATCAGTTAAAAAATAACGCCATTTCAGAGGCAGAGCAAAATATTACATTCAAAAAAGATATAAAGATAAATATGTTTCTTCAGAATAATGTGCACCACTGAATCACAGGTAATCGAACCAGAAACACAAATTAAAAGTCATTTTGACTTTAATATCTGAATATGGTGAAGATAAAAATTGTATTGATTTTATGCAGATAAAGCAATACTGAGGCAACAAACTAACTCTGAAATAAATCATTCTGTGGTGATTAAACACATTAAACACAGTGGTAACATACTAGTGGCTAATTTAATAAATAACATCAATAAATAAATACACTGGATTTCGTAAATATGACATTCTGTATGTTTGCAGCACTGTAATTAATCTGAAAGGCTCGTTACCTTATGAAGTGATGATAAAGTGACGACAGGAAGTCAAATATTTCCTAAATCATAATCAGGGATAAAATCAACTGATGAATAAAAGAAGGATAAAGCTGGAAATATGAGGCATTGTTAACAGATAAAGCTAAATAAATCTTTAAATCTCCAAAGCGCAAATGTTTGCTGTGTTTAAAATCACTCAAAAAGACTCAAAACATGAGTCTTTGGAAATTACCAAACTATTGAATGGAACTGAACTGAACTGCAGTTATTTTATATATTCTATATATAAATTCAATTGAGCTTCAACTGAGGCTGAAGTGAATTCAGAATTTAAGGCTTAATATCAGTTCATAATCTGTCATTTGAACTGAACTGGCCACAACACACGGAATGCAGAATTACAATTTGATTTCCAATCTACAGAATTAGAATTAAAATTATATTCAAATAAATTCATATAACTGCTAAAAGAGTAGTTAGTGCATTTAATTTTTCAGTATAATTATCAAAGACCATGTTCATACACCCAACACATGGTTTTGGAAAGAAGTCTCTTCTGCTCACCAAGGCTGCATTTATTTGATCAAAAATACAGTAAAAATTTGAAATATTATTACAATTTATAATAGCTGTTTTCTGTGTGAATAACTGTTCAAATGTAATTTATGTCTGTGATGCGCAGCTGTATTTTCAGCATCATTACTCCAGTCTTCAGTGTCACATGATCTTCAGAAATCAGTATAATATGCTGATCTGCTGCTCGAGAAACATTTCTGATTATTATTAATTCTGAAAAGATTTTATATTTTTGTAGAAACTGTGATACATTTTATTTTTCAGGATTCACAGATTAATTGAAAGTTCAAAAGAGCAGCATTTATTTGAAATATAAATCTTTTGTAACGTTATATATGTCTTTACTGTCAATTTTGATCAATTTAATGCATCCTAGATAAATAAAATTATAATTTTTTGTAAAAACAAAAATCACAATGACCCCAAACTTAAATGTAAAACATTAAAATATTCATCCAAAATTTAAATATCAATAATTATTTTTATAAAATTATCTGTAAACAATGCGCTAACATTTTGTGGTGCTTCCGCTCATTCCGATTCAAATTCTAATTCAACATTCTGTGTGTTGCATCCAATTCAATTAACATTGACTCTCAAATTAAAAGGTTCTTAAAGGGACAGTTCACCCAAAAACGATAATTCTGTCATCCTTCACTCATTCCAAACCCGTATGCCTTTTTTTTCTTCTGTGGCACATAAAAGAAAATATCTTGAGAAATGCCTCATTCAATGAAAGCCAATGGGGTCCTTCAAATCTCTTCTTTTGATGACAGTAAGTTCATTTTTGGGTGAACTGTCCCTTTAAGCTGCGTGTTTCACACCATAGTCTCCGGAAGTGTGTCTATGCTGTCTGATGACAGGAGTTGCCATATTTGCCACTTCTCTGTGGGCCAGTCTGGATGCTGCTCTGCTCCGAAGCTCTTCGATGGCACGTGTGACGCCGCACCCTGACAGGAAGTGACACGCGGCTGCATGGACACGGCAGGAAGTATGTCGTCTGGTTTGGCAGGAGATGCCATCGCTTCCTCTGATTGGTGAAATGCAGTTCGGCTCGATGCAATAGGATGCATTTGATGGCGCGGGGAGCTCAGAGGACTGCCGTCTGCACTTGTGACCTGCAGGCGCGCTCTACATTCAGCGGCGACGTTTGTATAGGACGTTTGCATCTCATGCACAGGTTTCATGTCGTTATCGTCATCATAGAAAACATCAGAGGAGGCGCGTTTATACAGGTGTCCATCCGAACCTGAAGGACAGAAACACATTTCCTTATTCTTAACCCTCATAATGCATTCAGGACATTTTGACCAGGAAGAGATGTATAAAAATGTCTAAAAAATGTTTTTAGTAAAGGAATGAAACATTGCAAACACTTTTAGACCCTCAAAATACACGCTATTTATTTTTTCAGATTTTTTTCCCCAATTATTTTTCAAGAGTTATAACATGTCTTGTGTTTAGGGATGCATCGAACCGATACTCAGTATCGGTATCGGCTCCGATACTGGCATTTTCTGATATATTTACTTTTTTTCATGAATGTATTTTACAACAATACAAAGAGCAATGTGTAACATTTTACCAGATTTAGTGCTTTACTTATTAACTTTTATTTGTTCTCCACTAAATAATGTTGTTTCACTAAATGTTTAGATTTTATAAAATCATTGTACACCCACGATTTTTCTCTTTTATCCACTAACCTAGTTTATGATAGAATTTTGTCATAGATTATGATTATATATTTTTTCATTAAAATGAACTTGACTATATTTAGCAGAATGTGTTTAACACACAAAAGAGTGATGATCAGGCCAACACATTGAAGTACAGAAATTCTACATTGATAAAAAAAAAAACTGTGCTGGTATCGGATTGGAATTGGCAGATACTCAGAATTGTCAGGATCGGATCGGTTCTGAAAAAATGGTATAGTTGCATCCCTACCTGTGTTCGGGTCATCTGGGTATGTATGGAGTACCATTAGTGTCAAAACTACTTTTTGTAAAATTAGCTATGAAGTTAAATTAGTGTCAAAAAACTTTTGTAAAATACACTACCGTTCAAAAGTTTGGGATCAGAAAGGTTATTAAAGACGTCTCTTATGCTCATGAAAGTTGCATTTATTTGATCAAAAATACAGAAAACACAGTAATATTATGAAATATTATTGCAATTTAAAATAATGGTTTACTATTTTAATATCCTTAAAAACATAATTTATTCCTATGATGCAAAGCTGAATTTTCAGCATCATTACTCCACTCTTCAGTGTCACATGATCTTCAGAAATCATTCTAATATACTGATTTATTATTAATGTTGGAAATAATACTTTTTACAGGATTCTTTGATGAATAAAAAAATACAAGAGAACAGCATTTATTTAAAAATGAAATTTTGTAATAATATACACTACCATTCAAATGTTTGGGGTAAGTAATTTTTAAGAATTTTGTTGATAAACATGAATATGTGCATCTATTGACGAACCAATGCAGCATGAAAATCATCTGAAAGTGAAATGTATGCAATTAAAATGAATTTATTTAGTCTTAAAATTTTCAGAGTAGCATTCATGTTGTTTTGTTAGATATAAATATGTAGGTTTCATAAATTTGGACTGTTTTTGAGCAATCATGAGTTATAAAGTCAAACTTAATTTCCATTCATTCTAATGGGGTTAATACAATTTATCTTGCTGTGTTAATATTTCTAAGATTCATACACATTTTTTAGAAATAAAAATCTTCTTAACTGCCATTTTATTCAAATTTTCTTATATTCTGTATTCCTACTACTTCTCAAGAATATTATCTTTTTTCTGAAGACTGTACTTTAGACAACACTTAGAAAGAATTAAAATTCTTGAAAAGAATATTCTCAAAAGTCATCATAATTAATTTTTTTAGACAAACATTTAGGACTATTATTTTTTTGGACCCAGTAAATTAACATTTTTGAATTGACACCACAATTCAACACACATATGTGGTTGAAAAATAATACATTTTAACCAGTAAGGAACACAGTCATGAAATTTTCACTATTTGACCATTTGAATACTTTAATAAATAATAAAGATTGATACTGTATCAAAATATCAAAAGAACAAAAGTGCAGTGTGTAAATACAAAATGTTAATGTGCTTAATGTGTTTCCCTTTGATTAAAATAACTTCTACTGTATAAAATACAGAGGGTATTGCATAATACAGGATAAATTATGTGGCTCTTCTTCAAAAGTACTAAAACTCTCTTGCATATTTTTTTTGACATGTTATTTGTTTCATGTTTGTACCTGTGAGGAGTTTGTCATGAAGTCCTGACAGAAGAGCGTGTCGTGTTCGCCAGATACGAGCCTTATCATGTATGGTTTCCCCTGAGGAGAAGAGAATATTCATTACTGACATGTACAACTCTCACAAAACCTGTGCTGCCTCGTGTCAACACATTTATAAGACAGCAATACATGAACGCAGCAGAAAGCAATCAGATTTTGTGCTGTGATGAGTTCAGGTAAAAATATATATATATATATATATTATTCAATATATATTATTCAATACTGGAAAGTATTCATTAAAAAGTAGTTTGATCCAGTGTGATTTTAGTCTCATTGATTTACTATTGTAGTTTTTTATTAATATTGTTAATTTGTTTTTGTTTTTATGGTTTCTGTTTTTATTTAATACAATAATACAAATAATAATAAAACAGGCCCATACAATTTACTTTAATGCTGTGAAAACTAATATTTTTTAAATATAATATAATATAATGTAATAAATAATAATATAATAACACAATGCAGTTTAATTTTATATGAAGGAAGACCTTTGATTATCTTTGCATATAGTTTTTTATATATATATATATATATTATTCAATATATATTATTCAATACTGGAAAGTATTCATTAAAAAGTAGTTTGATCCAGTGTGATTTTAGTCTCATTGATTTACTATTGTAGTTTTTTATTAATATTGTTAATTTGTTTTTGTTTTTATGGTTTCTGTTTTTATTTAATACAATAATACAAATAATAATAAAACAGGCCCATACAATTTAC